TTATTTATTTATTATGTATTAGACTTCTATCCCACCCGTCTAAACCAAAGGTCAACCTCTTTCACACTCTCTGTCCTATGATAGATCCTTCTGCTGATGGGCCAGTGAACCTCTACAGTAGAACCTCTCTGTGTTGTAAAGTATTCTGGGACATGTTCTAGAGTGGTCTGTTGGGTTTCACTATAGGAGGAGCTGAAGGCCAAACTACACCTGAGGTCAGAGATGCAGTTCCACAGCCAACATGGAGTCCCAATCCACACTGAGATCCTATGTGGTGATTCAAGGACTTTAATCCTTTGCTCTGCCCCACTCCAACCCACCCTCCCATTGCCCAAATACAAATGGAATCCTTGCACCTACAATTGGTATTAAAGAGGGAAGGGTCCGATTTATTTAATAATCTAGCTGAGCTTGCAGCAGGCTGCAAAAGGGCTAATGGCTCCTTGTTCCTCAAGGTAGCATTACAGTTTGGAACAGGGTCCCCTACATGGGATATTTGCCAAGACACTGAAAGCTCACTTAATAGCAAAGCTTTGTGATTAACATCACAGATAGTCTGATCTGTTGTGTCGTATCTGGTAGAACATGCTGAACACAAAAACGTATTCTTTTGTTTATGATAATATGCCCCCACTCTGCACGATAAATTAAATCAGCAAATATAAAATATCAAACTCACTGTCAGAACTACGTGATTTAGAAGGGCTAGCCAAAAATTCAGTGTAAGCAAAAACAGGAAATAGATGAGTTTGCATCAGTGATTACACACAAGGCAACAATGGGCAGCAAGGATCTGATTCTTTTGTTACACATGCTCATTGAACATTCAAATGGAAGCTACACTCCTGTTAATGGGAACCCTGTAACTGGGGACAAACTCCTCCCTGTGCACCCATCCTTTGCCTTCTAAGGGGCTTAGCTCAGACCTCTAATAACACAAAAGGAAAGGGTGAAACCTATTGCTCTTTCATTTAAGTCTGTCGACTGATCTCAGACCCTGAAGTTGATTGGAAAGATATCTATCCACAGAAATGTCCCATTATACAAACCTGGAATGAGGTGGGCAGGATAGCAGTATGCAGAATTCTGGAAGTTGTAGTCGAAAGCCAAACAGTGTCTGTGCACTGTTGATTCAGCCAGTTGAAAGTTTTCTATATTCGTTTATCAATTTTATCAATCTCAAACAAAACACGGGATGTTATTTTTTTTAAAAGCATAGGTGATGCCACCCTGCATCTCACCTGTACTACCTCAACCTTTGGTAGGACCTTGTATAAGAAAAGTGGAAAAAGACACCTCATCATTTAGCATTTTCTCAGCCCCTTCCAATTGTGAAGGAAGGAGAAAAAGTAATTAAGTGTAATGATGAAATGCAGAGAATTTTACAGATATCATTGGTTGCCAGAAAGACAAGTATGTGGCTTCTATATCATATCAGGACCTGTAGGATTTATGGATATACAGTACTGTGAGAACCTAAGATGCATTAGAAAAAACAATAATGGTTGGAAAGGTTGAAAGAAGAACAAATATAAAATGGCTTGACCCATGAGACTGACTGACCGTAAAAGAAGTCACAGCTTTCAATCTGCAAGAGCTGAGCAGTGCTGTTAATAATAGGACCTTTTGGGGGTCAATAATTTGTAAGATCACTGTAAGTCAGAAGCGATTTGACTATATGTAACAGTAACAGCTGCTTACAAGTGGCAGCCAATGAGTTGATAAGGACATGGAGAAATGCTCAGTGTGATGCCATTACATCACATGTTGGAAAATGGTATGATATGCCATTTTTCTAGGTGTAGATGAATGGAAAGTATGCATCCCCTGTAACCTCTGGCTAGGCCCTAGTGTTTCAAGTTGGGTTGCGTTGGGTTTTTTTGTCCAGCATAAAATGTCCCCTCATCTTTGGTCATTCTTCCTGTACAGTATTTGGAATTCCAAACCATAGGAGAAAATCAATGGTATGCCTTTTGCAAAGCACAGAGAAAATGGCAGCCACTGTACCATGAACCCAACTTTGAGTCACAGGAACACTTACATCATTCAAACCACTGAGAAACCAGGAACTAGCATAGATTTCTCCAGATTTTTCTAAAATATTTCAGTATTTGGAAGCAGCCTGCACAACAAATCTCTATGACTGCTTTCTCTGTGTAACCCTACATACTCTACTTACCTTGTCTGTGTGTATATTTGGGCTAGAGCTTTTATGCAAACCCAGTTCTTTTCTAAAGTAACATAAGGTCACTTTCCGTATGCAGTCAATTAACTGATCTTTGCTTTTTTCTTTTTAATCACGTCATCTTGGCAAGGATTTATATAATTGTTAAAATTGATGTTTTTAAATGCTTTATGATGCTGTTTCTGTGACGTTTTATTATGTATGTAGGCCGCCCCGAGTAGACTTTGTCTGGGGGGGGCGGGGTAAAAATCTAATAAAAGTAAAGTAAAAGTAAAGGAATGCATTTTATCACAATTTTATATAGGATCTGTTCTCAGCTCAGATTCATTTTCCTTTTACCCTGCACAGCAATGTATTAGAAATTCCTAAGGGAACAGAATCTGCTGAAACACTTATTTCTGTGTTTTTACATTGTGAAGAAAGGAAATGGGAAGGCTGGAGAACACACAGTAGCAAATTATTCCCGCCTTAAAACTACAGTATGTAGTTTATTCTAGCAATGGTTATGAAAGTCGGTTTTCTTCTAGGGTTTTGAGCTATATGAAATCTTCAAGGAAAGGTTACCTGTTATTCCCTAGCTGGCAAACTGGGGAATCCAAACAAACTAGCCATTCCATGATCAATTAGTTAGGCAGGGCACAGTGTGATGTGGAGCTACTGAGTGGCCTAATGTTTGACTAAACCTGAGTATCTGGTCTTGTGGAAGGCTCCACTTCGATGCCTTCAGCCTGAAGACCAAGTCCTTTGGAAAACAGCTGGCTGCACAGCAGCTGCACTCTGGAGATGAGTGATTCAAAACAACCTGCCACCACTATTGTTGTCCTCTTCTTTCTCACCCTCCTTCCCTATAGGTGTGCATATGTGAAAAGTGTGTATATGTGAAAGTGGATGGCATGGATGACATAGGCAACAGGAGACCAGGCAGCAGCAAGTGGGTCTGCTGCCACCCCACGCACTATACAGTCTGAGATAATTGCTTCACTCTGGACCCATCAGACTGCTATACCTGCGCAGTATAGATACATAAGAACCTAAGAAGAGCCCTGCTGGATCAGGCTAAGGGCCAATCCAGTCCAGCTTCCTGTATCTCACAATGGCCCCACCAGATGCCTCTGGGAGCACACCAGACAACTAGATGCCTGTCTCCTGATCCCCCTCCCCTTCATCTGGCATTTGGAGGTACCTTCCTTTGAAGCCTGGAGATTATATATCCCCATCATGGCTTGTAACCTGCAATGGACTTTTCCTCCAGAAATCTGTCCAATCCCCTTTTAAAGGCATCTAGGCCAGATGCCATCACCACATCCTGTGGCAAGGAGTTCCACAGACTGACCACACACTGGTTAAAGAAACCTTTTGTCTGTTCTCACTCTCCGAACACTCAATTTGAGTGGATGTCCCTGGTTCTGGCATTGTGTGAGAGGAAAAAGAGCTTCCCTCTCTCCACTTACTCCATCCCCTGCATAATTTTATGCATCTCAATCATGTCCCCTCCCTCAGGCACTTTTTCTGTAGACAAAAGAGCCCCAAACGCTGTAGTCTTTCCTCACAAGGGAGGTGCCCCAGCCCAGTCATCATTTTAGTCGCTCTCTTTGCACCTTTTCCAGTTCCACGATGCTTTCTTTGAGGTGCAGCAACCAGAACTGTACGCAATACTCCAGGTGTGGCCTTACCATATGTTACTAGTGTCTTTATAAATCAAATGCATAAAGATGTGACTAATTTTTCATTCATATATGCTTGGAACATTTGACACATTGAAGTGTGAGAATTGTCCAAAATCCTGAAATCCCTTGTCAAAGGTAATGAAAAGTAAGATGGTAGCCGATGATCCATTATAATCACCTTCACTGTTATTACAGTCCAGAAGTCAGTACGCATAGTGCTCCAGTATGCACTGGAACACACTCTCAAAATGCACTAACTTCATAGTAGAAGCTCTTTCCTGTCCTGTGTGTACATTGCGCTGCTGAGCATTTACTGGAACACAGCTGGACTCCCTGCTGCAGGATGTGCTGAGAGGACAGAGTCAGGCACACTCTCCAAATTCTAAGAAAAGCACTTTTTAAAAAAGTGGGGGGAGGGAACCACAGGAATATGTGGTTTCTCTCACCCTGCCCCAGTTTTACTCTCTGGCTTGTTTCTGAAGTCGGTCTATGGTAGAGGTTTAATTACAAATGCCATTTACACACTCACATTCACACACACTCAATAGTGGACTGAATGAAAATGACCTCATCCTGAGTAAACATATCAAAGGACAGACGGGAAGTCTCTAACTGAGAGTAAACTGGCATGTAACCTTTCTGAAACCCTGTTCAAGCAATGGAGGCTGGAAAGCAAACAAGGAGGGAATTCTCCCAAAGCTACAGAGGTGGTTGCCATTTCCAAGGAACATGCAGATGGCAAGATGCAGAAGAAGGTGGCTTTTTTCGAAAGATGGGCCCTGCATCTGGATCCACAATACACAGAGCAATATTGGATCGGGTTAAAAAAGTAGATTGGGGCAAGTTGTTGGGGCAAGTTGTTGCCAGTGACTATCTACTCCTCAAAGTGAGCCCACCTGGGCACCCAATGCAGATATGCGCCTTGGCAAATGATGAACCCTTTACTGGCTTTGTGAAAAGGACAGGATCCAAACAAATGCCTAAATAGCTATATGTATACACAGCATGCTTCTATTTTCTTGAAAATCAGTCACCCTCATTGTCCCCATGAGGAACAATGTTTTTCAAACTTAGCAAAGT